AACATGCTCAACACCATTAATTGTCAGGGAAATGCAAATTAAAACCACAGTGAGATATCACCTCACAGTTGTTAGAATGACCATTATTAAAAAGACAAAGTGTTGACAAAGTTGTGGAGAAAAGAGAACTCTTGTACGCTGTTGGTGGGAACATAAATTAGTACTGTCATTATGGAAAACAGTATGGAGGTTCCTCAAAAAATTAAAAATACAATTACTGTATGAGTGTGTAATCTCACTACTGCAGATATATCCAAAGGATATAGAATCAGTATGCTGAAGAGATACCTGTATTCCCATGTTCATTGCAGCATTGTTCATAATAGCCACTATATGGAAACAACCTGAGTGTCCTTTGGTGGATGAACGGGTAAAGAGAATGTGGTGTGCGTATATATATATATATATATATATATATATATACACACACACAATTAGGATACGACTGAGCTTTTTAAAAGAAGGAAATCTTGTCATTTGCAACAACATGGATGAACCTGGAGGACATTATGGTGAGTGGAATAGGCCAGGCACAGAAAGACAGATACCGCATGATCTCGCTTATGTATGGGATCTGAAAAAGCCAAACTCATAGAAACAGAGGGTAGAATGGTGGTTTCCAGGGCCTAGATGGAGGTAGAGTGGGGAAGACTAAAGAGATGTTGATCGGAGGATACAAAATTTCAGTTTGGGGGAATAATTTCAAGAGATCTATTGTAGAACATGGTGATGAATGTATTGTACAATATGGTGATGAATGTATTCTAAGCTTGAAAATTGCTAAGAGAATAGATTTTAAGTGCTCTTACCACCAAAAAATAAGTATGTGAGGTAATATATGTGTTAATTGGCTTGATTTAGCCATTCCACAATATATACATATTTTAAAATATGTTGTATGCCATAAATATATATAATTTTATTTGATAATTTTAAAAAATTCCATTGGCTCCACTTCTAAAATACACCCCATATCTCTTGCTACCTAGTTCAGTCATCTGTCATCTGCCTGGAAAACTGCAACAGCCAAGATGCCACTGGTGGGAAGGGCGGTTGCAATCCAGAGTGCCACTATTCTCCTAACCTACACTTTTCTTTCTCTACGGTCCATTCTCCAAAAAGAGCCTGAATGATTTTTTTTAATGTAAATCAGAGCATGTCACTCCATCTTTTAAAACCAGTCAATGATTGATATTGAACTTAGAATACAATCCAGACTTCTTATGGCCAAGGAGGTCTGTGTGGTCTGTCTCCTGCCTGATTCTCCAACTTCATCTCACCATTCTCTCCGTCCCTTAGTCGCTCAGTTCTGTGCTCTGAACACGGACACATCGGGCACCTTCTGCCCTAAGGCCATTGTCCTTGTTTCCTCTGCTTGCAGTCTGTTCCTCAGTTTCTCTGCATGACAGTCCCTTCAGTTCTCAGCTCAAGTCGTCACTTCCTCAGAGATACCTTCCCTGATGTAGTTCCTTCATGACACTGGTTACAATCTGCCTTGTTTATTTTGTTGTTTATCATCCATTTCATTTCCTCCAACAGAAGTCTTGTGTTTCTCTCTCCTCTCATCTCTCTATGTCACCCACTGCCTAACACATACAAACCACATTTCACATGATATATGTGATCAGTTGTAGGATACAATGTTGTGTAATATGCCATCAAGAAGTAAAAGCACTGCAAATTAAACTATGGCACAGTTTTAAGAACTATTGATTATAAAACAGTCTTTACTCTTAAGACATCAAAATGTTTTTTAAATTCATACTTGAATTAATAAAATACGTATCTTGTTGAATAAATAATGAATGCACTTTGAGTAATCATGCTTACTTGTTTGCCAGTGATCTTTTGAGGAAATTATTCTGAAAAATAGAATAATTTTTCTAAATGTAGAAGCCCAATGCTTGCATAGCTCATGCGTAACACTATATTATGAAAAAGGGGATATTATTAGTATGAAGAAGTATGAGTAATTGAAAGGATACTATGAATAGTTGTTCCAAACTGCCAATTACTGGCTTACCAGCAATAATTCAAATTCTATATATCTTGAGTGGGCCAGGAAACTTGAATTCTCAACAAATACTTCAAGAGACTCATATGCTTTTGTCCTGGAAGTATATTTGGCTCTATCCTGTGCAAGGAGGGAAGACAAAAAAGGTGGGAACAGACATAGATAGATTGGTAGAGTTGGTAGTGGAAAGATATAGGAATATTCATCTGACTGCTTATATGTGTTGAGTGAAATACGAGCTCATTAGCTCAGTGGTACGGTAGGGATTTTGTAGCTTTGAGAAAGAAGAAAAGGTATGGAATAGTCAATGCAGACAATAGGAAAGCAAGAGGAAATGATGTGTTCTATGGAATTGGAATATGTTTGCAGGCAGATTTGAGAAACACTGAAGTAGAAAACAAGGTTTTTGGTTAAGATGTCGGATAGCATCCCATTGCGGAAGGCATAACAAGATAGCCTGCTCCCTTGAGCTATGTTGGATTGTTCTAGTCCCTTAAGTAAATTCCATTTTCATAAGACCTGACTATTCCCAGGTGGCTGTGAAATTGCTGCTTCCATTATTCTCATTTATATAGTTAAAATTAATAAACTTATGGGTGAGGAAAGCTGGATTCAAACACTGACCTGGGTGTAAAAAATTCAAGCGCTTAACCACTAAAATGCACTGCTCCCAATAAACAAGAACCTTCGAGGGGGACAGGTGAGCCTCTTTTTCATGGAATGAAGAGAAAGTGTCTTTCACATACTGAAAACTGAACAGTTTTCTATTTTTATAAGAAAAAAATTCAGACTCCTAGGATGTCTTCATGCTCTGCTCTTGTGCTGTGGTCCAAGTTCATGTGTATAGCCTCACCTTTCCATACTCACACTTTATGGTCTCACCATTAAGCTCCTCTCCAAGGCTGTGGTCTCCAAGTTCAGACGCAACTGCATTTGGTAACTGTGTAAGTCGATCCACTTGGGGTGTGGGAAAAATAGGTATACCTGTGTTCTGGTGTGCTCTGTTCCTTTATCTTCCAGGCCTTTGCCATGTGTTTCTTCTGGCTTCTTGGAACACCTTCTTTCTTGTTTGGCTATATCCTGCTAATCTTAAGATCTCACTAGAAACCTCACTTCTTCCAAGAAATGTCTTCTAATCCTCCCAAATCTGAGGTTCCCGAACTTCTCCCAAGTCCTCCCCTGACACCCTATACTCACCCTGTCAGGTACACTTACCACGTTGTCTCCTGACTGCCTCTTTACTGATAGGCACCTGCAAAGCTTCAGCACCTAACCCAGTACCTGGCTCAGATCAGGCTTGATAAAAGTTAACAGAACGTTAAGAGAAAACATTTAATCATTTTAAAATGTTTGTTATATACTTCATTAAGGCAGGTTCTTATTATGTTACACAGGGGTTTTCTATTTATATAAAAATCTCCCAAGAACTTCTGTCTTGTGGTATAACTTAAAATAACGTATTACAAAACATAATTTGAGTTATAATAACATTATCATTAACACAGTAATGTGTAAAATCTGATTGGAACTGTGAGTAAACTCATCAAAAAAAGTAGAAAAATTGTTTAACTTTCAAAAATAAAAAAATATTTAAAATATTTTTGAAAACTTCTCCAGACCATGTTTTGTACAATAGTAGAATGAAATTATGCAGCAATTTATACTTTGAACAGGCTCATACTAATAAGTGGGTTTATCCAAAGCCAGACTCTTTCATTTCCTTATTGATTTAGTTCATATCCTTTACTAGTATTAAACATGTCATTCCCAGGCATCTTTCAGCCTGCAACTTATTAACTATTTTTTCCTCGAGTTTGTGCCAGATAAACAGCAAAATTAAAAGTTACTATGAATTTAGTTTTTTGGTGTTTTTTAAAAATCGCTCTTTGTGGTAATGTTTTTCATTCTTCATAACATGTGCCTTTCGCCCATTCCTGCCTCAGTCTTCAAGTGTGCTTTTCTCATTCAGGTGGATGTGTTTTGATTTCTTGGAATGTCAGATTCACCCAAGTGGGGGAAAAAAAAGGTTTAGAATTGTTTGCCTTTGGAGTTTTCAGTGCCTCCCTTTGCTACATCAGGATGGACAAAGAGATTATGATGCCATAAATATAAAGAGCTATTGTTCACTACTTATGGAAAACATTCTAGCTACTCCTTACTTCATTGTAGTTTATATTCTCTATCTTTTAAAAATTAGTTAAATTCACACTTTGTGCTTTAATCTTTTACCATAATTTTTAATGCTGGCCATATTTATTATCCCATACCAAATGCCGAATGTAGCATTCTGGTATGTAATTGTCTTCTCTCCTGATCTAGGATTGTATTCCTCTGAATAAATTACTTTTGTAAATTACCTCAGTAGTGGCCAGATCTCACAAGGAATTTTTTGCTCTTTTATATCGTTGTGGTTGTTTTAATTTTCTTACTTGTTCTTGTGATTCTGATGACATACGAACTACTTTATGTTCTTGACTTGGAAGGGTCAAGGAAAACAGTTATTGTTTGGTAACGATTTTTAAACTACTAGATATTGTACATAAGTACATTACAAAATCTCTCCTTTTTCCTTTTAAAGTAGTAAAATGTGTCCAAAGTTTACTGCTAAAGTACCCTGTAGTGAGGTTGAAAAATCTGAAACACCTTTTATCATTGTCCGAATGCTGTCTAATCCTGTAGTTTCCAGGAGGATGTAGTGATAATTTGTCTCTTTGTGAGTCTGTGGCTTAAGTTCCTTTAAGTTCACAAATATAATGAGCAGAGAAAACTTAAATACCCTATAATCATTTCAGAAACATTATATAGTGATTATTTTGGTACTGCTTAATACAGGTATCCGAGTGATTACTATTCATTATGTTATATTAAAAAATTACAGATACTTTTTCCCTTACTGAAATCATAAGATAAGCAATACCATATACAAAAAAGAAAAAAAGAAACTAACCAATGACTTATTTTCCCCTCCATCTGCTCTTTCACACAGGTACAACTTGGCCAAGTAGAAATCAAATGTCCTATCACAGAGTGTTTTGAATTCCTGGAAGAAACAACTGTTGTCTATAACTTAACACATGAAGACTCCATCAAATATAAGTACTTCTTGGAACTTGGCCGTATTGATTCCAGCACCAAGCCATGTCCTCAGTGCAAGCACTTTACAACCTTCAAGAAAAAAGGACATATTCCCACTCCTTCCAGATCAGAAAGCAAATACAAAGTAAGCATGTTCACCAGAGATGTGGGTTAGATGTCACATGATGGGAGCAGCCAAATTAGGCCAACTTGTGGTGGGCATTATGTGGGCTTCCTTCTCTTACCAGAGCCTAAGGTGAGCATGTATTGGCTATGATTCTGAAAACGTATGGTTTGGGGAGGCTGGTGGTAAGGGAGCACTCTTGAGGATTGATTTAAAGTTTTTTTTAAATTTTAATCATGTTGAAAATTCATCTAGTAACCTAATTGAAAGGCTGATTGAGTAAAGTCATTACTATTACCAAGTGCCAAAAAAATTTTTTTAGTATAAGCTTGACTTTTTCGGTATTCCCAATGTAAGTCTCCTCTAACTCTGTCTATAATAAGTGAAAATAGTATAAAATGTTATTAATTCATTTGTTCAGCAAATACAGAATGTCCGTATATGCTAGGCAGTGTGTGCACATACACTTACATATACCGTGGGGGAGACAGAAAAAATGTGACATAGACCCTGCTTCAAAAAGTCTAATGAGAGAGTCTAGTGAGGGAGACGTGTGTTCTAAATGACAGTTCGATGTGATTAGAAAAACAAAACAACACACAAAACTCTGTAAATATAGGGTGCGTTGAGGACACCTGGGAAGGGATGGGCACTAAGATGTCAGGGATGGCTTCACAGAGGAGGTGCAGTTCTGCAGACAGATAAATGTGGAGAACTTTTCATAACAAGGGAGAGCCTGAGGCCAGGAAGGTTGGAAACAAGTGCTGCATAGAATTAGTGGGGAGAGAGTATGGGAGAGGCAGCTGCTCAAGTAGATAAGAGCAGGTCAGGTTGAGTCTTGTACACTGTTCTCAGAAGTTTGAATTTAATTCTGTGGCAGTAGAGAAAGATCATTCTGGCAGCATTCTTAGAGGCTGTCACAAGAGGGCGAGACCAAAGACTGGGAAACCAGGGCAACAACTGTGGGAGCAAACTATTGATTCACAGCTTTGACTGTATATCAGAATCACCTGAAGAGCTTTTAAAGACACACTGGTGCCCCACGCCCAGTTCAGAACAATTGTCTTACAAATTTTGGAGCCTCTCCAGGTGACTAATAGGCTGCAGAGTAGAGAACCTTTGCAATAAATGAAGCAGAAAACTGAGAGATTGTGGCAGTAGTTTTCATCCTCATCATTACAGCAGAATAGCAAGATGAAGTGTTTTCAAAGGCTGTTTAAAGTCATCTCCATTTAAGGTCAGTTTTTGCCCATGTTCTGTGTCTGTGGTCACTATATGATTCATAGTGTAGCTTTGAGGGGACAGTGGGTTAGCAAGTAGTTTCTTCTACTGTTGCAATAGTGAGCTAGAGTATTCATACGTTAGTCAAAGCCTCTTGATGAGTAATTGCTCTTTGAAACAGTTTGACTCTCATAGTTAATTTTTTTTTTTATTTACGGATTTTGTGCAGGCTAGTCTCTTTAAGGTATAACTGTCAGGAAAACCCTTTCTTTTCCTTCTATGAATAGTGTCACTTTTAAGGTTACAAAATTTTATAATTAAAATAATACCCTACAGTGATGTTGCATGCTGACTTAATATCAATACAATACGTTTATTTGGTGCTATATATTCTTTGGTTATTTTAAGTTAGTTTTACTCCAATTGTTTGTTATTGATATTATCAGGAAATTACCAGTTTAGAAGGACTTGTTATTCTATAACTTAGGATATTTGATTTAGGTATATATAAACTCAGACTATACTAATTTTGGAATTTGTGTTAATTAAAACGTGTACATAACTGAATCAAAGTGGAAATAATTGAGTAATTAAAAATGTGTTATTCTTATGAAATGGGTAAAAGGAGATGTAATTTAAGGTACAATTATAGCAACAGTAAAGTATTGTAAGTCTCATTTCATCCAAAATCATGTTGTGATGAGCTAAACTTATGTGCATAACATACAATACACATGTACTGAGAGTGAAATATGTAAAAATTGGCAAATATAAAATCCTATATTTATATAATTTTGAGTGAATCAAGGCTATTCGGATAACATTTCCCAATGGTCAGGCTTCCTCCAGTGTTTGTTGGGTTATAGGTAAGAAGAGAAGCAGAGGGCAAATGGATCAAGATCTTAAATCTAGTAAGCTCAGTAGGCAGGTGCACAGTGGGCAGAGGGCCTCAGTTTAGCAGGTGCAGGATCGGCTAACCCTCTGAGTTAGACAAATAAATGCAAGACTTCAGCTGCAACAAGAATACTGCAGATTTACTGTAGTTGTGGAAGTGCAGGATGAGTCTGTTGTCTCATTACAGAAAAATCTACCTCATGCGTCCTCTGTCATCTCTGAGACCTCAGCCGAGTAAAACAGCCCTTCAGTAAGGGGCAGATCTTGAAGGAATGCTTATGCTCAGTTGACTAAAATAAATAAATAAATATACACACACACACATATATGTATGTGTATATATATATGTATATATGTGTGTATATATGTGTGTGTGTGTGTATATATATATATATATATATATATATATATATATATATATATACATATA